CTTCAAGGGGAGCTTCAAGGACATACCTAAAGATGGTTGACAAATCTTGTCTTGGAAGTTCTGATGAGGTAAATGACTTCCTCCTTCAGTGGCATGAATGGATTCATCAGATATAAATCTACACCTGCAATGACATTTATAATGACAGTCTATCTTATTATCACTTTTGGTTACCTGCAGATCACTAAACTCTTGGAAAGAACAGAAGCAGCATTCATAAAGCACTTCGCCAATGGGAACCGAAGGAAAGGAATGTCTTTGTTAAGGCCACGAGTGAAGCGCGAGAAACATAGAAACACATTCTTTTTCGGTGAGTTTGTAGCTCAGAAAGGCTTTGATACTCTATCAAGGAAGTAATCTAGCCAAAAGCTCAAGAAAAAGATTTATAGCCTCTAACATGGTTCGATTGTCACATAATGATCTAAAAAGTGTTAGACAATCTTTAGTCAATTTAGGGTCGCACGACAATGCCACAATGAACACGGCAAACAATACAAAAAGATTGAAATTCGATCAACTGATTAGCTTATCCTACTCAAAATGTTATGAACTTACCTCTTTCTCTCTCTTCAAACAACACTTGTGTTCAGGGTTGTTCTCAGGTTGCTCATTAGCATTAATTGCAGCTATCATCGTTACTATTCGTGCTAGAAATCTTCTTGAGCATAAAGGGAGTGGTCAGTTTATGGAAAACATATTTCCACTTTACAGGTCTGTTCTTGCACAAAGTAGTACTGCATTTTTTTTTCTCCCTTTACTGCTTGCATTCTGATTTATAACATTCATTAAGGATCTGTTTGGAGCCTGGAAAATGCTAGGAAATATAAACATGTACAATTAAAAAAACAATAAACCCAGTAAAGCCCCATAAAAAATAGGATCTGGGGAAGGTGTGTGTAGGGCGACCTTACCCCTACTATGAATGAAGTAAAGAGACTGTTTAAAAGAGACCCTGGCTCAGAAATAGAAGTACGAACAAAAAAACTACAGATGCACGGACGAAGAACAAATAAGAACAAAAGAAGCATAGAAAACACGCCATAAAGAACAAATAAGAACAAATAAGAACTTGCCATAAAGCACAAATAACACACAAGCACACACTATAGACTTAGGCAAAAAACATGTCAGCTTACACTAAAAATTCGGGCCCGCAAACTAAGAAATATAAATATGTTTAATGGTTTTTTAAAATAGTCATATTTAAGTTTGCACATGATAAACAACACTTTAAAGCATTTTAATTCCTTTCATTATCATTCCTATGTTCCAAACATAACCGAATACTGATGAGATGCATCAACTTGTGTTTATAGCTTATTTGGATTTGTAGTCCTACATATGCTAATGTATGGTGCGGACATCTTCTGTTGGAAGAGATGCCGTATAAATTACGCCTTCATATTCGGCTTCAAGCAAGGGACAGAACTTGGCTACCGAGAAATCCTCCTCCTCGCTTCCGGCATCTCTGTTCTTGCTTTAGCTGCTGTCCTCTCGCACTTGGATATGGAAATGGATCCAAAAACAAGAAGTTTTAAGCTGCTTACTGAGTCGGTCCCACTCGCATTGATTAGTGTAAGTGTGAAAGTCTAGTACTCTAGTCATTCTTTAGCTTCTCATAATTAGAGATTTGAGTTCAGCCTTGATAGTTTCATTTATGATTGTGTGAGTCTAAATAGGTAAAGCCTTGGCAGACACCAACCATAATCTAGGAAACATGATTCCTTATTTCAGGTATTAACTAAAATCAATTAAGACTACTACTAATGGGAAATTGACAATGATAGAAATGATAATATTGTTATAATAATAAAAATAATAATAATAATAATAATAATAATAATAATAACCATATCAGAGTTGTGACTACTATTTGGTCGTGAATCCTTGTGACCTATTTACGCCTTACTTTTGTGTGACCCCGTAATAATTCTCTTGTTTTGTGATTTTTCCAGGTTCTACTTGTCTTAACATTCTGCCCTCTGGACATCGTGTATCGTTCTAACCGTTTCTTCCTCATTAGATGTGTATGGCGTTGTGTATGTGCACCTCTTTATAAGGTATATATGTATGTGAATCCACACAATTTGGAACAAATCATAAGAATCTAAGGGCTAGCTGCAAGTGTGATTTGGCTGATTTCTCTGATAGAAAAAATTGTTTAGTATAAAATCAATTGTTGTCTATTGAGTCAAAAGCTACACTTTTTTTTTCTTGCTGGGGTGGGGTTTCGAAAGTCAAAGGCTAATTATGTTGCTGATAAACAAATTAAAGGCAATAGGCTAGAACAGGCAACCAAACGGAGACTAAAAGTTACAAAGTACCTTCTAACATCATCTGAAATTCCGTGGTTTGACAGGTCACATTACCTGATTTCTTCTTGGCAGATCAACTTACCAGCCAGGTTTGAACCATTTTAGCTTATTCCTCAGATCCTATAGCATATAACTTTTCAAGTAATAAGCTTATTTTAAGCTCTTAACTTCTTACCCAGTTGACGTAATGACTTGTTATGAGTTTAAAATAAGCTATCAGCTCCTACATTAGCTCTACCAACCATACACTAAGACATCCATCAACCTTTTATGGGCATTTTTTGGCACATGGAGCTAAAAAGCTCCATGGAAGCCGATAGTTCAGTCACTATGAGCTCTAAGCTGTAATTGGCGGTGAAGGTGTTTGGCAAGGTTAGTTGAGCTGATTCATGTAAAAAGACATAAAAGGACATTCTCGATATTGATTACATACGAACAATCAATATATCTATAAGCTTTATTTAAGAGCTTATTTTATGCTACCCAGAGTATAATTCTATTCACCAAACAGGGCTAATTGTGCTTAATATAAGCTAAACACTTTTAAATTTCAGGTTCAGGCCATCAGGAGCTTTGAATTCTATATCTGTTATTATGGATGGGGAAACTTCAGAAAAAGATCAAACAAATGTCAGCAGAGTGATGTCTATGAAATCTTTTACATAATTGTAGCAGTCATCCCATACTGGGTTCGGTTACTCCAGGTATGTATCGCCAACCAGCGCGATGATCATTAATTAATTTATTCTTAAACAAAGGGCTAACCTTGGATGATGATGGTGGCGGTGATGATAATTTTATAGTGCCTTCGTCGCTTGTTTGAAGAGAAAGATCATAGTCAGGGGTTAAATGGTATGAAGTACCTTTCAACAGTGGTTGCTCTGGTGCTAAGGACACTGTATGACCTCAAGAAAGGAACAACAATGAGAGTTCTTGCCATTATCTTCTCGGGAATCACCACAATTGCCAATACCTATTGGGACATTGTTAGAGATTGGGGTCTGTTCCAAAGACATTCCAAGAACCCTTGGTTGAGGGACAAACTCCTTGTTTCAAACAAGGCAATCTACTTTGTTGCAATTGTAAGTATAATAAATCAACATATAAGACATTGAAATAGTCTTAATAGAGTGGGGTTCTTTTGACACCACTCATGGGTGTCATAATATGACACCCATATGCCATTTGATGGCCCTACAGGAGTAGGAACCATTTTTGGGTAGAACAAAGCATATAGGACATTCAAATGGCATGTGTGTCATATTATGACACCCATGAGTAGGTGTCAAAAGAACCCCACTCATCTTAATATTAGGCTACCTTTGTGATGAAAGACTAAATCCGGTAGCCCTTCATATTTAAGTTCAAATGAGCAACTCGATCATGTTAAACATAAACAGTTGTGGACATGTTAACTTTGTGGAATTCCTCATGGTATTCATTACTACAATATGAATGCAGGTCATAAATATGATTTTGAGGCTTGTATGGATGCAACAAGTTCTAGATTTCAATCTGCCATTCCTTCATAGAAAAGCCACTGCTGCACTTGTTGCTTGTCTGGAAATCATTCGTCGCGGCATTTGGAACTTTTTCAGGTGAGTATAGTACGTAGCCAATAGCCAGCCACAATATACCATCCATATAGGCCAACTATGAATATGAGATTCAATGTAAAAGAATGTTCATTGATGGAGTCTGTTTTCACTGCACAGGTTAGAGAATGAACACCTGAATAACGTTGGAAAATTTCGAGCATTCAAGTCTGTGCCCCTTCCATTTAGCCATGAAGACAACAAGAGCATATAGATTATTCTATATGAAATGTCAATTCATAATTCATTGTAGAGCTTGGCATGCTGATCTATTGAGTCATTACAGTAACAACTATCCCGTATAATACCAACTTCATTGGGGTCTGGGCGATAAAGATGTAAGCAATCTAACTGTTAGAAAAATACAGAGAGACTGTCTCCGTTAGTCCCTTGATGCATTGTTGCATTTACTATCTAAAACTTCATCAAAAGTAAGAAGCAATGTACCATTTTGATCTAGTCCATTATTTATCCGAAGCTTTAACATTGTTAATTATGACTCTTTTAGGCATTTTAGCTCCATTAGCTCCCTTGATCTATTGAGTCATTGTTGAGCTATAAAGTTTCATAGTTTTGTTCTGACTACATGACCTGAAAAAATCTCCTTTTAGACCTGTGCCAAGCATCTGCTTACGCACTTTGACCTGTTATATTTAAGGTTACGGTTCTCATGTTATTAAACAGAAGGCCAAAACCGGAGGTCCCAATGCCGAAACTATGACTGCTTTAGAAAAAGACTAAATAATGACTTGACTGGAATTGGAGCCTTCAGTCCTAAGAACTGGAAGAAGGATTTTTCCCCACGATTCCATTAAAGGTTCCAATTTTTCGGCAAGTAGAACATACCGGTTCAGAATCAAAACCAATTTGGACTACAACCTTGTATATTCTTACAATCAATTGCTTGCTTGGCGACTAACGCTTCTTGGACGTGGAAATTAACACATAAGATCAAAAGCTTTTAACAGAGCAGAAGGGAAAATGAGTAACTGCACAACACTCCCCCCCCCCACCCTACCAAATGAAGATAAGATGCAGGCAAAACAAGATCATTTTGTACACTTCACAGAGGGATACAATGGATCAAATCAATATCAACGGCTATTTACTCACAACCAATTTTTTATAAGAACCAACTTTTAAAAAAAAGAGAGAGAAAAGATGGTATGGCACACCTGAAGATTTGGCCTCCCCTAAAACTACATCAGCTAGAACTTATTGCAGAGAACCCATACTATGTCTCGGAATCAAAAAACTAGAAAAAAAGGGGTTTCTATTTGGAGGAATGGGAAACCTCTGCATTCTGAGTTGCCTCTTCACCATCCCGGGAGCCAAACATGGTCTCAGAGTCAGAAGAGTTCTCTGCAGTCACAGAACCCGTACTGTCATGATCTTGATCCGCCAGCAGAGATGAAAATGACAGTGGATTTGAAGTTGAGCTTGCCTTCCTTAGGCCTTGTATGGCTCTGATTGCAGCAAGCGTACTCCGATATATGCCCACGTTTTCCTCTCCAAGCTGCAATTTAGTAGCTCTAGAAATGTTTGATGCATTTGAAGAGGAAGCTTCTGGATGGTCACGTACAGTAGGAACAGATTCAATAACTTCTGCTTCCAAAGGAAAGAGAAGCTCGAGGTTTGCCTCACACTCACGAACTAATCTTGTAAGCGGTTCGGTTGTGAAGAAGGGCTGATGAACAGCATACTGTGTAAAAGGTAGGCGCAGCAACTCCCCAGTTCGTTTATCATACTTTTTGAGGATTTTCACAAGTCCTAGTGATCATTGCAAAAGCATGTTTCAGAAATACACCATAACAGCATCAATATGTGTACTGGAAAGTTTGTTTGGATGGAGACCTTATTGAAGAGTTTTCACTATATTAACCGAAATGGCTCCACATTTTCCCAGTTTCCGTCGTTTTGGGGGGATTCTTATTTTCCTTTATTTTCTATCACTTTTTAAAAGCCGAAAAGGTTCTACAATATAATTGTTGTATATTTAGATTAATAAAGAGTATATTTAAATGACAACAAAAATCATAAAGGTGTCAAATACAATATTTTACATATTTTTTTTAAAATATTCTAGCACAAACCAAACAAATTTTCCCAGCCACCTCAAATTTCCTCCCCTCCACTCCCTTCATTCCTCTCTTTTGCACCACACAATGGCTTAATGTTCCTTTCTTAGTAAAAAAAAATAAAACATGGAAAAGGAAAACGAGGATGCATAAACTTTACCTGCAAAATTTAAGGAGCTATAATTCTGGAGTAGGACCATCTGCCCATGTATGGCAACAAAATCTTTACGTATATCTATCATTTCTTCACTGAATTCACTCTCGGATGTGAAAGCTGCATCTCTTCCGCTCTTCTCCTTCACCTGCTCAATCCTTTCCTTCAATTCCTGTGCAACAATAGTCAAAAGATCCCATGTTCTTCAAATTTTGATCCCATAGGCTACTTTTAATTATAAAGCATATTAAGGAGGTTAAATAATAACCCATAAGGCCATAAAGGCTTCATTGCATATATTGTAATGGACACTATGACAACCTAATGAAGAACACAACGGCATAACTTAAATTAAAACTTTAAAAGGGTCCTGCAAAAATCTCCAAGGACAAGAATCTCAGAAGGTCATTAGTGTTCAATGCATCAATCCTCGTTAGTAGTTTAGTACATGCAATGTCAGTAAAATAAGGGAGTCACTTTGCACCCAGCTGGTCTCCTACTGTCCCCTAAACCCACAAAAGTCGCTAACATCTCGATGGATTTTGTAGAAGGCCTCTGCAGCACAAGGGGAAGACAACACAACACCGCTTGTGGCTGTGGATTGAATTTCGAAATATGCCCATTTCATGCCCCTCGCACACCCTTATACCGCATCATCCATGGCTACGCTTTTCATCAAAGAAATGGTTTGTTAGCATACCATTCCATTGCCCATTGTCTACGATCAGGATTCCATCACTCAGTTCTCCCAAATTAATTTTAGCAAAAGTTGTTTCACTTTTGTGGAACTAAGTTATCCTTTTCAACTGCCTACCACAACCAATCCGATGGGAAAACTGAGATACTAAATCACACCTTAGATATGTATATGTGTAGTGTAACTTGTTTCACTTGCATTTATCCATATTATCTTCATGTCTCTCTTTTGAACCCTCACAATACTCTGTTTCAAGGTTACATTATTTCTCTATACTCTGTTTCAAGGTTACATTATTTCTCTGATTCTCTCCTAAGTCCTAATATTCGGCATGATTGTACTCCTATTTTAGAAGCAATACGACTTTCCAAACGCCATGGAATATGCTTATATACATTTACATATCATAATACAACTGCTCATGGTTGAATCAATTTGAATTGTTAAAGAGGACAGTCTTCTTCTTCTTCCCTTCTAGCCATGGGTGAAAACAAAGAAGACTCGATAATAGACCTTGAGCACGGTCCCGGAGTAACGCTAGTAAGACATACCATTAGTATACAGCTCATGTATAGACCATCTCTACATTACCATAGCAACATACAACAGTTCTCTTTTTTAGCTCATTCACTGAGCCCACCATCATCTACTCCCATCTTATGATAATATACCATTTTAAAGAGTTTTTTATGCAACCTGATATAATAAAATGATTGCAGAAAAAAATAACCTACAGAATAGAAGAAAAAACTGATGGAAGCATACCAGCAATTAAAATTTAGGTTTGATGTCAGAGTTTCCTTGATTTTTGGTGAGCAAATTATTCAAAGTATTTGCATATCCAATATCATTTTTGTACGGAGTAACTTTTTATGATTGCTGGTTTTTTCTTTATAGAATGCTTATTTCTCATTTGCACATATTGGATTGAGGATTATCAACTACATTCAGATTCATTATTTACAAATCATATACATATCCGGAGACATTATGTATATATATGTATGGCAAACAGAGAAAATGCTGATTATTTTGCCAACTATGAAGAAATAAAATTTACAGAGAGCAATAAATATAAAGGAAAACCCTAGGAAAAAGCAAACCTGAAAGCGAATAATGAATTCTTCCTCTTGCTCGACGTAGAAATCGTTGAACTTTTCGAGATCTTCTCGGAGCAATCTAATGAACCAGTCATGGAGGTCGACAGGCTGCGGTGGTCGGAAGCTGTCTCCACCGGCGGCGGCGGCGCCGTGAGGGTTCACGGAGGGAGAGGAGGGGTCAGGGAGGGACTTGAGCAGCTTCTTGAAGTGCTTGTAGCGCAAGTATTTGTCCCTCCATTCCGGAAGGGTTTCTTCCAAGTGTTCCTTGAACTCCTTTCCGAACTTCATCTCCCCCAAACTAATCTGATCAGTTTCAGATAATCCACCAACAAACAACAACCTCAAAGAAATTGCAGCAGCGACAAATTAATCAATTTTTTGGCAAAATTACCAATAATTGGTGCAAGATAAGTGGATAACTGGTTTCTTCCAAAATTTTAAAAATAAGAATTTTATTCCCAATAAATAAAAGCTTTAAAAGGTTACATTTTGAACTTTCAAAGTTAATCTATATAATTAATATTTTATCTAAAATATTAACGCTAATAAGATACATTGTTTTCAAACAAAGTCTAAGACACGGAGTTTGACGGATCGGATATCGAATATCCATGTATGGAGAGAAGGACAAAAGGCTAATTGATAAACTTAAGAAAGATTTTTAATGATCACGTGCTCGTGACAAGAAATTTATAGAGAATAGCAATCTTTAAGAGACAAAAAATAAATTAACTACTAATCTCGAAGACATAAAGAAGCAGGTGCAAGAGTTCAACAAAGCAAAAGATATTCTTAAAGGTATCATTCATAATGGAAAAACTAACAAGAATATGCTTGATTACACAAGTGGAACTACATATTCTCATTTTAAGGTTGGAATTATATCTTACACATCAATGAATTATTTTAGACCATTTAATTTATTTCATAATAAGAAGTTATCACACCGCATTATTCACCTAGATGTTATTATTGCGAATATTTGAGACACATTCATAGGTACGGTGCAATTGGTGCAAATGAAAGCATTCCTCACATACATAGTACAATAAAGGAACATCGGCACTCAAATGGTCCTTGATTTTCATGTTGTGGGCACAAAATAAATTTAATGTATGTTCAGAAATTGAGACGTCTATATAATATTGCATCGAGTGAAAAAACAAAAAGAGATCATTACATTGTGATATTGACTGTGCCACTTTAGTAAGTGGAAAGCACTAATGATGTGACTTGTAGAGAAAATCATGTAAAATTTACTAGTGGGCAAAGAAGAGAAATCAATAACACATATGACATTAGAAGCAAGATTTCTTTTTGGATAATTCAAAATCTTATTGAATTGCCATAGTCAAAAGGGGTGCATGTTGTAAATTCTCATAAAATTCTCTTTGTGCAAGCTCATTGTGTTTTACTTTTACTTCTTGAATTAGAAGAAATCAAAGCTTGTGTGGATGCATTGTTGATCTATAATGAGATTGATTGCTAACACCTTTTGTAAAATTGTGCCAAATAGGGAGGAAAAAAGGTAGTAAAATAATATTGGTTACAAAGCATTAATAATCAAAAAAAGATATTCTTAAATTTCTATTCCAACTACATGACTTTTTTTAATATGACTTGTACTAGGATTCTAATATTAGATTTACTCTTCTCCATTATAAATAAAAGAGAACGCATTCAAGACAAGTGAACCCAAGAGAGAGTCGAAAGAAAATTTCTAGTATCGTCTCAGAATGACAACCAAAAAACAATTAAATATTCTATATTTGTTAGTTGCTTGTGTGTAGAAGAGAGAGTTTCTTGTGAGAGAAACAAGGTCATCGCGATCAATTGGAGAAGGTTTGAACTCCAAGCAAAGTTTACGACGACATGTGTATATCCATTTCATGTTATACATGTAATTCATCTGTTCATTATTAATTAAATATTATGATTTTCGTGGTACATCAAAACACGAATAAATATGAAGATACTTGATATATTTTTTTACTTCTTTTTTAATAGAGTACATAAAAAAGTTAGAATAATTTATTAAAAAAGAATTGATAGAGAGTGTTTTTTTATTGGCCAACAAATAAAAGGAGAGGCTACTTTTTTGGGTTTGGAGCAAAGAATTTGTAATGGGCCAACAATAATGTTTTGGATCGAAACCCATGTGCTACTCTATACTCCGTATATAATACCGTCCGGGAGGTATGTAATTGATGAGAAGTTAATGCTACTTTTCGATCACGTTGCCAAATGATCCGTCCATCGTTGTTGTTTAACAACGACACCACCTTTATCGTCCAGCCTCAACATTCACAGGTTATTAATTCACAGCCTGGCTGGCTTCTTTAATTCATTACACAATAATAATAATAATGATAATAATAATAATATTAATATTAATATTAATACTAATAATAATAATAATAATACTAATAATAATAATAACAATAATAATAGTTCATTAAACCATTCTCCTTTTTTATTTTACTGTTTACATTTTTTTAAATTTTGCTTTTAATAAAAAAAAGAGAATACATAATGAACTAAAAGGAGGGAAATAAAATTTATCACATTTTGGGAGAAAAATATTTTCTTTTCTTTTTTCTTCTTAATTTATTGAATTAAATATAGTGTTAAAATTATTTTAAAATAAATTTTGTATATATTATAAATAATTTGATTATATGAAGTACTCCGTATAAAACTAATACAAGAATATTATTTAAAAATTTACTTTTATAAAGTTACATGTAATTTTTATTAAAATATATCATCTTCGTTCCAAACAACTTTTTCTATTTATTATTTCAGGCCTTTGAAATTTTGTATCACTTTTGTTTCGAAATAACTTTTCACATTATCTTTTTTTCTATGTTTCAAAATAAACTTTGTGCTCTAACTCATTTGTTAAAAAAACAAAAAAATTGGTTTACAGTATTTATTTTTTATTCTTAATTATTTAGATTCAATTTTTCCTAACTATGTCTAACAAAAAACTTATTTTGATATAAGTTTCATGTTTTTATTCTTATTTAGATATATTTTTGCCATCTAAACAGATTCTAGTCACGTATCCTGTATTTTTTTAGTTTTCAACCATTTTCTAAATAATCTAAATAAATTAAATAGTTAATTTTAATTTGGGACAAAGGGAGTATTTAAAAACAAAAGGGGGCATATATGTCTACCATACATTGTAGTCACGCCATAGTTCAGACCGTGTGTTATTGTTGGAGCTTGATGGGGTGCTAGCTCCGTAGGTGCCACGTAAGCGGGCAAGTATAAGTAAAATATGTGTGTTGTTCACTAAGTGATGGAATCTAATGAATACACATTAGTTAAGATGAATGTGTCTTAAATTGTGATTAGTTGAAAATAAAAAATAATGCAGGAAGGCAATGTTGCGAGGGGCAATTGAGGGTGGTTACATTGTGATGAGAACCGTACGTTTTATTGCACGGGGACACAAAGGATGATGGTCTAGCTTTTGCTCACGCCGCATAACGCATTACCTTACATCAGGATTAAATTTATGCCACTGAATAATTTCAACCTGCTATAAAATGGAAAATACATATCAACTTCAATTATTGTGAATCTGATCGCACTACAAAAAGTTAAGTAAATTATATCTTATTAACTAATTAATCTCAATATAAGAGTATTAACAATGTCAAGTATAAAATCAAAAGACATGCACTAACGAGACAAATTTCAAGTTTTCAACTAATAAAAAACAGTAATGACCTTCACACCGTGATAAGTGAGTTGAGTGACATATTCTAAATCAAAAACTTATGAAATTCATATTTAATTCGCAAACAATAATCGGGAGAATATAATATTTTTTCCTTTAAATAAATTCTTATGAATCTCATACGGGCATTTAATTCGCAAACAAAAAATCACATCTCGGGAATTGTTTCAGTTGTGTCCCGTTACAAAACACAATTAATATTACACATGGTTTTAATGACATTGATTATTGCCACATTATTAATACACATGGTTTTCATTATTGATCCACCCAAGGCATGCTAATTAAAATTATAATCAAAGACACACAAATTCAATTTTTTATTTCCAATCTATTGGAATTAACAATATGAGTATCCTAATTAATACAAAAAATAAAATGAATCAAGATTTGTTATTTGGATTTTGGAATACTACCAACAACTTTTAATAACAAGACTTGAGTGAAATTAATTACGCAATAATTTTTTTTGTTCAAACAATAACACTACATACATGCATGATACATCATTATCATATTTTCTATCTTCTAAAACATAGGCGAATCCAACGGTGAAGAATTGACCAAATTAAGTATGCTATCCCAGTAATTCTTGTTATCTTCATAGCACTGCCCGGCGCCGTCGCCGGCGTTTACCGTCTCCGTGCTTCCGGCCTCCGACAAGCTCCGTTCATCCGCCGAGCTCGCACTCAGCAGAAGATCCGTGAACCGCTCCACGAAGTTCCCGCCGGAGGCGTGGTCTTCCGGCCACCCCGGCGCGAACTCCGTGCCCGGCTTGTACTCCGGCGGCGACTGCACCGCCTCCGGGATCTCGGTAACGTGCGGCGGCAGCACGTTGCCGGAATAACTGAGCGTCGAAGTCGGGGACTCGAGTCCGACTAGGGGCCCACCTCCCCATGCGAGACAGGGGAGGGAGGCGGGTGGTGAGGGGACGATGAGAGGAGTGCCGCCGGCGGGAGGGGAGCGGAGGCGGGATTGGCGGGCGAGGCGGGCTTCGGCTTCGAGGCGGGCGCTCTCCCACTGAGCCATGTGGCTGAGGTTGGCGGCGCTCTTGCCGTCGTAGGCAGCGGAGGAGGAGGAGGAGGAGAGGGCGTCGTTCTTGGGCTTGTGGGTCACGGGGTCGATTCCCATTTTGGCGAGACGTTTCTTGAGGTGGGTATTCCAGTAGTTTTTGATCTCGTTGTCTGTCCTCTTCGGCAAGTGAGTGGCAATCGCCGACCACCTGAGACCAACCCAAATAACCAAATAAATTCCAATCATCAAACAATTTCAATTTGTATACAATGAAATTTGATTTTAAAAATTATACGGAGTAACTAGTACTCCCTCCGTCCCGAAATGTTCTTCACATTTGATTTTTTTTTGTCAAAGTTTATTATGATGTATTATGATGTAAATTTAATATCAATATATTAATAATGAAACGTAGTTTTCAATAATCAATTTTTTATAAAATATATCTATGTACAAATATATATATTAATGGTCAAAGTGCAATATTAGAGATCGTGAAAAGTCAAATGAGAAGAATATTTCCGGACGGAGGGAGTATAAATTAATTTAGGAGTATATGGGGTACTCTATTTGTATACCAAGCAAACCAGATAAACACAGACACTTAGTATCTATGGATCACATTTGTATATCAGACAAATACTTTATTTGTCCTACAAAATTTTTCTAGTTTTGACTTTTAAAAGACTTAAGAGGAGTGTATTTTGGTGTTGACTTTCCAAAAATACTTTTGGATGTGATGATTAGATTAATAGTGAAAAATGTGATGTGATAGGTGTGTTAAAAATTAGTAAGTATAAAAATGATTTTTTTAATAAAAATGAAAAATATTTTTTTGGGAAGATGGAACCAGAAAAGAGAAAAGTTTTGTAAGACAGAAGAGCACTAAATTCATTTTAGATTCTTGAGTTGTTCCCCAACCATCGAGCTAGTCCTCTGCATCTCACCTCAAACTCCCACAACTTCCTTTTCATTATGTTACATCTGTTTAAAAATAAAGTTCTCATTCACTATTCACATGGTCAAACTTTATTCACTTTACTGGTTTGTTTTCGTGTTTTATTTGTTAAAATAGTATAGTCGTTTCATCTTTAGTTTTGTAAATCTTTTCATGTAGTTTTTAAACATGTAATTTTAGTAATGCTAAAAGATTTTAATGGTCCGGGATTGGGTTCTAATGTTAAAAGATTTCCACTATGTTTTTTAGTACGTACTAAAATGGAGTGTCATACTATGAAACTCGATCCATTTGAGCATTGTATGTTGCACACAAGTATTTGTTGACTTGAACCTTGCAACATGTTAATAATTCTTGGATCTTTTTATTTAAATGTTATTGTAAAAATAATTTTTACGGTAAAATTATATCAAAATCACCAGATCAAAAGTACTCCCCCAATTCTGAAAATACTTTCTTTTTTTATTTTTTGTCTTTCAGCAAAGCAGTTATGCTTTTTATTAAAAATTGCATTTACTCATACTAATTTTAGCCATATTTATCATTTCATACTTTTTCACGAATAATTCATCTATCACACGTCTTACTTAATTACATACACGAATCAAGGACAAAATTAGGAAATCAACTACAAATATATATATATATATAATCTGTCCTTATTTCTCCCATACCATCAGTTAAAAAAAGAACTATTTTGATGAACAATAAAAAAAGATATGAGAATCAATATCTCCTGCTCACCATAGTGACCTTTAAAATAATGAATTTCCCGGATATATTATTGATTTTTAGGATGAAATTATTAAAAATTTTTATAAATGATCCATACGATGTAGAGCTGTTTTTGAGGATAAAACTGCAAAAAGAAGAGGAGAGGGAGAAAGAAGATATGAAGATGAAGAAGAGGACGGACCGGTTACCGAGGAGGGCGTGGAGTTGAATGATGGTTTGCTCTTCTTGGAGAGTGAATTTGCCCCTCTTTATGTCCGGTCTCAGGTAATTCGTCCACCTCAACCTGCAACTCTTCCCGCACCTCTGCAGACCTATATATCCATACAGACACACAACGTCAATAATAAATTAAATCAAAAGCTCAAACTTGTGGTTGCATGAAGGGTGGGGCCAGAAAGGGGCAGCTAACTAGCCTACGTACCGGCTTTGGCGGGTAAGGCACGCCAGCTGCCGTGGCCGTGCTGCTCGACGTAGGCCAGAAGCTTCTGGTCCTCCTCCGGGGTCCACGGCCCCTTCTTCAGCCCCACTTTATCGCAGCACGGCGATCGCCCCATGATGATCCGCTCCGGCCACCGCCGCCGACCAAACCCGTTGACGTCGTCGATCGGGGGGGCGGTTTTCGAAGAAGATGATATATGAGTAGTTGACTAGGAAGAAGAAGATTGTATAGTAGTAGCTTATAGTGCGTGAGTGAGTGGCCGCCGAAGGTGGGGAGGGGGGAATAAATTATGGAGAGGGAGCGGCGCGGCGGGGGAGAAAGGTCAGCGACATGTGTATAAATGAGCGCATGTGACGACCCTATAGCTCGTCCTAGTAGTAGAAGTAGTCCCCTTTCTTCCTCTTCATCCTCTATATATGCACTTCTATTCTATATCATCCCAAAAAAGAATGTTATATCATGCAAAATGAAATAAAATTTTAAATTTTAATTATCGATTTTTTTTTTAATTTTTTTTTGAATAATGAAGTGTGTTATTTTGTTAGCTTTTTAATTAATTGCCATCTCATTCCTTCTCTAAGTACACACTTAAAAAAATCACATTTCTAGATTATATTTCTTGCATTTGGAATCTTTTAATAACTCCTTCTGTCCCAAGCTTTAGACGAATTTATTCTCAAATCAATTTATTTGAAAGTTGGTACAGATGGAATTTAAAAATAAAATTTAAAACTTTAAAAATTACTCCCTTCGTCCCAAAGAAAAGGTTGTGTTTCATTTTTTGCGCATTCCAAAAAACACGTCTGCCCTCATCTAAAATGCCTAAAAATAACCACATTTACCCTTTATTGTGGGTAGAAGTCGTTTTGAAAGTTTTTTTGGCGTTCGAGACGATATAGAAGTATTTTATGGGATGCGCAAAAAATGAAACGTAACCTTTTTTATGGGACGGAGAGAGTATTAAAAGTTTTACAAAACAAGATTTACATGATTATGTCATTTTCTTAAATGGGTAGCCAAAATGATAAAGAAAATAGCTTAAATGATATAGATTTAGCTCAATCTTAACATATTTTCCCATTAAAAAAGAAAAAGAACTATTCACAAATTATTAAGAGTTACTCCCTCAATTCTTAAAAGATTATCACAGTCTGACTTTTTTGGTTAAACTGTAATACGTCTTGACCACACATTAAGTATAATTTAAAATAATTAAATATCATAAAAATTGATATTTTAAAACTATAATTTAAAACAAATCCAATGTTACTACATTTACATTATAATTAGATATACATTTTTTAAAAAATTTGTAGTCTAAAGCTATTACGGAGTACTTTTTAACTAAAAAATCAAACTATCACAACTTTTTTGGGACGGAGGAAGTATGAAATGGGGTCCAAGCATCAAAATAAATTTGCATATGTATGTGGACAATATAAACGTGGAAGCGTAATTATTTATTCATTGTTTGGTCCAAAATCATACAATAAGGCATCCCACTGGCACTGGTACTGCAACAATAATAATTGAGCTGATGAATTTATTTGTATAAGGATTTAATTGCTCATTTTATTTCATTAAATCAAAGATTTAAATGTGTTACATTTCACATGTTAATACTCCCTCTGTTCTATAAAACAGTTCCTATTTTGATTTTTGCAGAATTTAATTTTGTAGTTTGACTTTTCAATTAAATCATTAGTTTCAAAAAGAGAAAAGTGACAAATCACTTATTATATCAATGCAAAATAGATGGAGTATATTGGAATAACTTTATTAAGATTTATTAACCATTTTAATAAAAAAAGGAAGTGTTTTGATGAAAGAAAAAAAAATGAAAGATGAAGTGTTTTTCCAAACGGGAGGGAGTAGTACTTTAATATTATTGTTTAATTAAAAAATTACAACAAAATAAATAAGTAAAAAATTATGAAAAAAGAAACTAAAAATGTTCCATCCGTCCAATAATTATTTGGAAAAAAATACTAAAACAATAGTAAAATACAAAAAATTCTCTAAAAATAGAAGTTTGATCTCTTTATTCTCAAAATGAAAGTTGAAGTACATATACAATGCCAATGTACAATGCCAAAAGTATTATAAAATGTCTATATACAACGCAATATTATCACAGCGTAAAATCTTATTTAGAGAATAAAATTTTGTACTACCTTTGTCCCTGAATATTTGTCCAGTTGTAACTTTTTTCGATCAATCGTTTTCAACCTTTGGTCTTTAATTAAAGTATATATATATATATATATTTATATTTATATATATATAGTATATTAATTAGATATAATATTATTTTGAAAATATTTGTCAAATGATTAACAAAAATGAGTAAAGAAAATTAAAAAAGTTTGACCATTGAATAGGGGAACAATACCATAATTTTGATATTGGCCGGGGAAGTATAATTAACAAAACATACAAATATAATACCTAACACTGAATTAAACAATTGTGCCTGTTCAAAAAAAATAAAATTTGTGCCTGTGGTGTAGTGAAAGTGATTCATAAATCTCACATTCTAGTGATAAACTTCCAGTAACAATAATTTTAAAATTAATGTTTTGTAAAGAAATAAATAGGGAATAAATAATTAGGCAAAGTGAGAATGGAGATGATGATGTGGCACAAGACCAGTCACTGATGAGTTGAGGCAAAAAAATATCACATATTGAGATAAGGCAAAACATTAAAAACAGGGTGTATTAAAAACTGAATTCAAATTAACCTAAAAATTCTAATTTCATAAGAAAAAAGAAACTAGAAATGTTCCCTCCGTCATGTAATTATTTTTAAAAAATAGTAAAACAAGAGAAAAATACAAAAAATATCTCTAAAAATAGAAGTTTTATCTTTTTATTCTCAATATGGGAGTTAAAGTACATATATAATGTCAATGTACAATGCCAAAAGTATTATAAAATGTCCATATGCAACGCAATATTATCACAGTGCAAAGTCTTATTTGGAAAATAATATCTTGTACTACATCTGTCCCTGAATATTTGTCTAGTTTTGACTTTTTTTGGTCAACGCCTTTCAACATTTAGTCTTTAATTAAAGAATATATATTGTATATTAATTAGATAGAATATTATTTTGAAAATATTTGATGTAATAAATCTAATAAAACTATCTTAGTATCATTATCTAATACTCCGTATCATTTTTATTTAATTTGAGGTCAACATTTATTAACTTTGACTGGAAAAAGTCAAAAACAGACAAGTACTCAGGAATAAAGAGAATAATTTTTATTTTGACACTTTCTCAATGTTTTCATTCTATTTCTGATGATTTCATTAATTATTTTTCTATTTGGAATCTGGATAGTCCACTTACGCACATAAATCTATATGGAGACTTTTTTTTGCATTGGTATTATTAATATTATTACCATACGGGCCGGCGGGGGTCATTAATGGACGGAAATCGATCAGAATGGCACCGTACGTCCCCGTCGGCTGACCTAAATATTCAACGGGCCGGCCGGGCACTTATGCATATATATACATATATGCATGTACACACCACAGTTTTGCAGTTGAATATTCTAACGTTAAAAAGATTGAATTGGAAGCAATGTAATGTATGGGCATTAAGTATTACTACTCCAATAGGTAACTAAAAGGTATCCGGTCCTCTTCCCAAAGTACTTTTTACCCGAGAAACATTTAAAGCCCATGCCTTTTCTCATCTCTTTTTCACACTCAAAAATGTCACCAGGGGGCTCCCGTTTGGTATATAGAATTCAAACTATGGAATTAAAACAACAGATAATAAATCAAATTCTTATGTTTGGTAACATAAAGATATATGAATTTTAAATCGGCAGTGCCAAAAATGAATTGAAATGGGAGAATTTAATTTCATCCAAATCAATTGTAATTCGTAGGATTTCAAATCTCAAACAGACCCTAAATATTTTTCCAACGTGAATAGACAATGACGAGGGTTGGCCCAGAAATGTGAAAAAAATGAGATTGTTCACGTGTTGGGCCATATTTTGTTTTTTGCAGAGTAGATTTGCTATGAAGTTAAAGCTAATTTTTATTTATAAAATTCATTTTTATAATAATTTGAATATTGAAATATAAATTTATATTAAATTTGAAAATATCAAGTAATAAGAATAATGAATATCTAACAATATAAACCTTAAAAGTTTGAAGGCCATGTGCTGATGCTCACCTTGTACATCTTTTGGGTCACCCATGAGAATCACTATCCATATGTCAAAGACAATTTAGTACTCCCTCCGTCAACTTAAGATCTTCTCATTACGCGTTGCGAGGCTTGACCGACTTTATTTTCAATTTATTTTAATTGATTATAGGAGTAAAATTTTAAAATAAAATTTATATAATAATAAACTACATGAAAATTTCTACAAAACTAGAGGTGACAAGACTATATTATTTTACGAAATGATTAGTAAAAATGAACGAACAAAGTGAGTAAAGTTTGACCCTGTGAATAGTGTCTGAGAAGATCTATGGTGGACAGAAGGAGTATTTGTATAAGTTAGTGGAATACTTGATGGTCAAAGTTTTTGTGTTTCTAGCATGATTTTTATATTTACACTTATATTCAAATAAAGTGATATGAAAAAAATCAAATCAAATATCATAAATCATAGGAAAGTAATTGAGTAATATAAAGAATCCAAAAATAAGAAGTTCATTAAAAAAATCAATTTTCCCTCAAAATGGGAACCCAAAATAATAAAGGCATTAAAAAAAGTCATGAGGGGTAGTTTTGGCATCTTGCATCTTTTTGCACATGCAATTTAGTAGTGTGGGACAGATGGGCTCAAGCACTGAATTAGGATAAGACAAATAATCGGGCCTACAAGAAAGGGCCCATATTGTGTTGGTCTGGTGGGCCAGCCCAAAATAAATTCTCTTTCTTCATCTGTCACCGTGGTCCAGCTCACCCATAAAGCCTCCTTTTAACACGAACTGTCAATTATATGCCGACGTGGCCGAATTCTAACTACAGAAATATTTGTGTGCACAACATATACTCCCTAGTCCCTCCCTTTCCAAAAAAACCAAAATGATTTTATTTTATTTATATATTTTTATTTATTATTTTATAAAATAAGATTTTATAGTTCCTAATAATTTTTAACATGTAAATTTTATTAATAATTTTATGCCAATATATAAATAAATTAATTTTAAAAAATACCCGGAGTATGTGATTTTCATTCTTAAATAATAAATTGTAATCTAATTTGAGAGGGAGTATATGAGCACTAAATACAAGATCTTTAATATCTTCCAATGATTTTGAGAGGTTTTCATTAAAAAATGATGTCGACGGAGTGTTGGTATAGTGTTTGTTTATTACGGAGTATTTATTTCATCTATTTTAAAATAGATATATATTTATATTCATTTCATTTTTTTTTTGAAATGAATGGCTTGCATGTCTTCATACCATCAAATTGTAAGTGAGATCTCCTCGACTTAGTTTTATTACTTACAAAACACGAAGTATTAAATTACTTATTTTTGTTAAAATCAAATAAAGTTAGAAATAATTTTAAATTGAACAATTATTCGATCAAATCCAATCAGATTGGACAAAGAGAACGAGCTTTGAGAATAAATCCCTTTTTATTGCTAATTATCAATAAAGTCATAATTAACAATCGTTTTCATTTTAAATATTTAAAGATTGAAGGCACGTCTAGAGTCTTCATTCAAGGGGTTTCAATTAACGAAAATCCTAACTTTGAAAATTGAAGTATATAGTTAAAAGTTGAAAAGAACATATCATGAATTATATTTTTGGACATTTCTATCTGATTTTACTTCCATGCTTATTCTTTTATTCTTAGTTACTCTTTGAATTTGATTGCACAATAAGACTCACATCCCTAAGAGCATGTTCTCCTCGTTTGATATGATGGAATCTGATCGGATTGATTTGATCTAATCTGTTCTAATTGTAGTTATATTTAAAATTGTTTCTACTTCCTTCTCCAAAAAAGGTTCTTCATGACCATCATGGTGTACGCGAATTCAATCGATTAACAACAAAAATCTTTTATTGAATAAATTCCACAATTGATACTTTATAACATGAATTTTTTCCTATTTGGTTCTCTATTATCAAATATTATTCCGGTGGTTCTCTATTATTAAATTCAAAGCAAAAAATATAATTTCACAATGATCCCATACCTTTTTTGTCATACACAATTACATAGGCCACTCTTAATTCGTATTTTTGAATTATAATCACTTTCCACTACAACCAGAGTCTATAGATGTGGTCTTTCGTACATACCATTAAATCCTTTGGCCTACAATTTGTATCAGCATAGAGGGACAAAGAGAAACAAGTCAATGACTTATCTCATTGTTCATACTCTCTAAAAACCACAATGTCAAGGTTCATTTTCCTCTTCCTTGCGCGCTTCGGACGCAGCTATCAATGAATCCAATTTGTAGGCCAACTCATGTCAAGTATGTCAGCGGGGTCTAAAGCCGCGCCACCTCGTTTACTCAACCCGCACATATGACCTTTCCTATTACCCGAAATGGACACGGCTGAGCTCATATAAGACTCCTCTTCAATAGTGGCATCTACAATGCAGTGCCTCCCGACCTGCATACGTATTCATAAAAATCGTCTATTAGAACAACCCACAAACAACTTATTAGTTTCTCTTATGGGATGTCCCAAAAAACAAATAACTCTGTGAAAGTCCAATCAGGAATATCTTTATGGCACGGAGGTAGTGGAAATAATAAGTAAAGAAGACAATGATGACAATGGAGATAGTATAAGGTTCCGTTTGATACACGAAATTCTAGCTGTGAAATTGGAATCGGGAACAACTATTCCAATTCTGCTGTTTGGTAGCACAAAAATATGTGGATTTGGAATTCGTAGTGCCAAAAATGAATTGGAAATGGAGAATTCAATTCCATCCAAATCAATTTCAGAGAATTTCAACTCCCAATTCAATTTCAATTTTCCATCTACCAAACGGATCCTATGAGTAATAGCTTCAGTTACCTTCGTCAAGGTGACTATGACAGGGACACTACTGGTGTCAAATTTAACAAATTCTTCATCACTCACATCAACTTCTGGATGTTCATTAGATGAAGCATCAGTAGATACATGGACACATGGAATACATGTATTACTCAAGGCAGCCTGGAACAAAGGGAAAACAATGCAATTAATCATCCATCTGGAATTACCTAATACTCCCTCCGTCCAGAAAAACCTTCCTGTTGTGACTTTTTTTTTTTGCCAAACTTTGATAGTCTTTAATTACAAATTAAACATAATTTAAATTAATAAATGTTATAAAAATTTGATATATCAAAACTATATCCTAAGAGAGAACCCCATTATATTGAATTTTAATTATAAATAAGTACGAGTACATTTTTTTCAAAATTTGTGGTCAAAGAGTATCGACTAAAAAAACTCAAAATAGGAAGGTTTTTCTGGGACGGAGGTAGTATGTCCCAAAAAACTAGTGGAAGAACTGTTTTCATTCAAAAAAATGGCATAAAAGAGTAACTTGTGAAACCTTAATGGCAGCACCGAGGGCGTCGAGTAAATTCCCGTCATAATCAACCACCAGGCCGTGTATGGATAGATCCCAACAAACTTTCGCGTGCACAACCGAGAGGGAAGAAAGATCAATTGCAGCCCCTGCAACAACATCAAAGAATCTTTAGATCATTAACCTAACGGACCGTATGAGGAAATAGTTCCAACCCATTGGTCTGCCCTTGTGTGTCGCTTGATGCCATTTTGTTTTTCACAAAGCCGATTATACCTGCCCTACTGTTCCCACCAAGCAGACATTGTTGAAGGGTAGTTGACAGTTCTGCACTCAGCTCATTGCCGCCTCTTCCCTACAAGAAGTAAAATAAATGGACAAAATTAACCTTGTGAATGATGCGAATGGCTGATTTGGCTCTACTTCAACAGTTGAGTAGCATAAATGCCATGGTTTACAGTAAACATTAACAAGAGTTTAAAGCAATTATATGAATAGGATTCAAATAACAAACAAGGATAGCTTATACCAAACTGAACATTTAAACAAACCCTAATCACATAAGAGCATTGTTCGAGCTTCATTCAAAGTCAATCTAATTGATTTAAGCAACCTCAAACATCGGATCTGCTATGGGACTGCACTCTACGGATATCGAAACTCTGCCCTTGTCCGGGTGACATGAACTTGGTTTTCCAAGTTCAGCCTGCAAATAGGAATAAGCAAACAGCATAAAGATTATGTTCAAGAAAATATTATCAGTAAGTAGCATAAACATAATGTTCACAAACAAAACATTAAGTCTGACCAAATACCTTGACACTGACAATGACATCTGTGTCACCAATCTTGACTCTTGCCGAACCACTCGCCTTTCAAAAAGAATCATTCAGCTATAAATCACGTGCCAAGTGCCATATATCCAGTATGAAAACACATGACCAAATTAACAAATGAAATGGAGGGAAAACACACAATGTAGTATAGAACTCAGAGAATACATTACCTGAGGGATGACACCCGTTTCAACTTCAATGTGTCGATAAAATAACCGCTTCCGACCATCTGTTCGCATATCCGAAGCAATACCACCTCCAATGAAGTTGTTTCTATCAAGATGTAACCCTACCATAACTGCATGAAAACAAACCATATGTGACATAAGCCATTACCCATGCACATATGCAAAAGGAAGAATCTAGAAGAGGATATTTTTGTAAACTGGACTGCTTTCAGGATCTTGTTAGGTGAAAGTGAACATCAAACACTTTTTTAGAAAATGCTATTTTGAGGCAAAAGGAAACCAACCTGAGGTGTATTCGACTTTTCAACCAATGGGTACATGCTTGTAGAAATTATATTGCATATAAAAGTAAAGTGAAATACCACATAAAGTACGGTAGAAGTTCCGGTACTATGTAAAAATTTTCAAATTAGTCCTTGTACTTGTAGTTAAAGCCATTTAGTCCTTGTACCATTCTTTTTTGTTCACTCAAGTCCTTCCTTTACTCGTTCTTTTTTATATTACCTCAAACGCTTTGCTATGTTGTCTAATTTTACTATACATGACATAAAAATATATTCTTGGAATGTTAATGCATACTTATGTTTCAAAAACCTTAATTTACCACGTGCAATATTCATTAGTTTATTTATTTTCTTTAATAGAATAATATATAGGGATGACATTGTTTATTTTTAATGACTAAAATTATACGGAGTATTAAAGAGTACATAGGACATGTTTAGGAATAGCGTTAGAGATTAGCGTTAGCGTTTTGGATAAAATTTCAACGGTGCAGATTACTTTGAAAACGCTAACGCTAAACGCTCCCCGTAGATAGCATTTTCAAAACGATAACGCTAATTTCTAACGTTATTTCCAAACAAGCCCATAAATTAGCATGCCAATGCAACATTACTTTGCCATATATAGTAAAATTAGACATTATTACTTCGTATATCATAAGAATTCAGGTCAATATATAAGAGAAAAAAGTGAAGAGAAGGACTTGCTTCAATTAGAAGTACAAGGAAACTGCTTTGAAGATTTTGCAGAAGTGAAGATCAACTTGCGGATATAATGACAAAACCTTTGAAGATTTCAGATTTTCAGAGGTTAAGGAAACTGCTTGGTGTTTGTGAGCCTGCTTAAACTGAGAACATACTAAATGTTTCAGTTTACGGGAGGAAATGTTGAATAAGTCAGTAAGTTTTTTAGTATTAATCATTTAATTTATGTTTGTTGCCCTATTCCTCAGGAAGTAGCTATACACTTTCTATGGTATTCCTTATTCTTAGCAAATGGAGTTTGTTTCCGTTCTCTTGATTGTACTGCCTGTAAATTGGCTTACCTATGGAGTAATAAAGTATCAAGTCTTTCTCTCAATTCCTGTGTTGCTTTCTAGAGTTCCATTTCTTCTTATTAAGGTTGTCTACAACCTGTTTGATAAAATTCCCCAAAGACAAACTGTTTTACAAAGTGACCATAAACTGTACAGAACAATTAGACAATTACCTAAGCGGATTCAATAAAAATAGCGTAAGAGGAAAAAAGTAGAGGTGGACTGTAGACGGCTGGCCGAACCTGGAGACGGCGTATGGGAGTGGCGGCGGACGTGCCTCGTGGTGGTCCTGGCGGTGGTGCCTGGCGGAGAAAGACGGTAACTTGACGACGGAAGGCAACGACGCTGGGTTGCGATTTAGTGGGAACGCTGTGCTTTTTCTTTACTCCCTTTTACAAAAACGATTTTTGTTTATTGGGCTGGTGAGATAATCTATTGGGCCTTTGGGGCTTTCACTTTTTTTAATTCGGCCTACTTTATTATTTGGACCAATTTAGTGAGTACAAAATATGTGCCACATCTGGTTCTTGAACTTTGGGGGTTTTCATTTTTTGTGTTTGGGCCTACTTTATTATGTGGACCATTTTACGGAGTATATAATAATTCAGTTCCAAAATATTCTTTTAGTTTTAGTTTTTAAGGTTAAATTAGATAAATTTTGATAATCAGTTTAATAAAAATTGTATCAAGTTTTAGTATAAAGTTTTTTTGATTTTTATCTAGCAGAAAACTATTGAAATTTTATGGAGAATTTAATTATGTTAAAGTATATTTAGTGTCATTGATGATGAGAATTGGGCTAATCACTTCTTTGGGCTACGGGCCTACTTTATTATTTGGGCTAATTAAGGGGGTACGATGCGTTTGATTGGATATTTTTCTTCCTAAAAATAAATTATGATTGACTTAAGAGATTTAAGGAGAGTAAATAATGTGATAGATAATATATAAATTAGTATGGATAAAAATAACATTTTTTATTAGAAAGTGGAAAGTGTTTTGTCACAAATGAAAAATGAAAGAATAAAGATGTCTAGGGATGGAGGAAATAGTTTTTTTCGTGAAATCCATCATTAAAAATCACTATTTTCATCTTAGAGTATTTCTCTAAGTTGATTTTTTTAATTAAACTGGATAAATTTTCATTATTAATTAAATAAAAACTATATTATATATTAGTACAAAAATATATTAATATATATGATCAAGTAATTTAATTTGTCTTGTGTAAACTAATAGAAATCTTATTTATTGAAATATATGTAATACGAATTATAATAAAATTGATTATTAATGTTTGCCATGTTTGACTTGAAATCAAAATGAACAAATACTCTAAAATAGAGATATTATACGTAGATGTAAAATGTCAAATTTTTTAAAAGTGGAAGTGAATTTAGTAAATTTGGATAAAGAAAGTAAATTTAGGTTCTGTTTGGCATCAACTTTAGAAATTAATATTAATGTTTTGAAAAAGTTATCTGACAGTTGTTTTTAATATTAATGTTTCCAAAATTAATACTACCTCCGTCCCATTCTTTTTGTCCATTTTTGACTTTTGGAACTATTTATCTAAGCACTTTGACTCATCAAATTCTCTCAATATGTAAGCCTAAATATAGTCATGTGTGATCTTGTTTTGTCTTAACATATAAATTATTAATATATAATTTCTATAATTTTTTAATATACAAACTACAAGATAAAATGGATTAAAGAAGTGCATTGGATGATGTGCCAAAAGGTAAGTGGACAAAAAGAATAGGACGGAGGGAATATACACTATTAAAATTTTATCCAAAATGCTAAACTAATCAAAATCATTGTCACCAAACAATGCATTAAGAATTTTGGAGCGAATTCTGAAAGTACTAATGACAAATTTCACGAGTAACTCAGAATTGTTGATCTTTTATCTGAAAATTATATTTTTGTGGAATAAATTATGATGTAAATGAGTTCAAAATCTTGTAATTGAAATGTTGAGTAAAAATACAATTGTTTGTTTATTTTTGTAAATAAGAACTTTATTTTTGAGATGATCGAATTGGTCATTGTTTTTTGTTTTTGTTATACTTTAAAATTTCAATTAAAATTCTCCGTATCATTTTAAGAAAGAAAAGAAAACCATTTTATGTGTCCTAAACAACAAAAAAGGTTTGGTGGACATGATATGATAGACACAAAACGATGGATTGGCGGACATGATAGACACGAATCAAAGCTTTGGCTTGGTAGTAGATAGATTGAATTGATTGATTAATAATGTCCAGGGGCAAATAGAGACAAGAGGAGTTGATATATATGGAATAGCAATTTAATCACTCTCCCCTCTCACTCCACTCCTATGCCATCGATCTATACAAATTTGTTTCAACCCTTTACCGCTAATAAAATGAAGACTGAATTTTTAAAATGATCCTTTCTAATAAGATAATTTTCTAAATTAGTCATAAATAAAAAAATAATAATATGACTCTTTATAATTGAGATTTATTTCCTAAATTGTTTTCTATAAAAAATAATGTTCAGTAAATGATAGTTAAATGAAGATATTTTGATATTTTCATCATCTAAACTATGAATAAGTCCTCAAAATGGTTCTTTCAAATTAAGCGGATGACTGCTAGAGGAACAGACTTACCCCGAGTGGGCTCAAAGACTCCATATTGGGAAAATATTACTTAAAATTTATCAGATCGGATAAATGCTTAATTATGAAGGAGCATTTTGAAAATATATACTTTAAGCCTAGATAAAAATACCAAAATGTCTTCTATTTGACTGATATTTAATATAATTTTAGGCAAATGACCATTTATTAATTCATTTCATGCATATTAATTCATTAATTTATATTTAGCCGATAGTTGGATAATTCCAATACTAAACATCTAGTTTAACATATTTTATATACATATATACATCACTAAAAATTATTTAAAAATTGCAATAATGCTAATTACTAATAACTCTCTTTTTTTCTTCTTCTTCTTCTTACGGAGTATAATAATGGATCCCACAACTTTCTCATCTAAAACTCATTTTCGGACTCAATAATTCCATAGACATTCCAGGTCCACGGGCCCACCTGTTGAGCTCATCACCCATTTTTCGTCGTCTTCTTCCTTAGTCGGCAGCCCATTGTTCTCGAACCAGAGCCTCAAAACAGAGTGATCCAAACACGGCATTACCTGGCAGGGGAGGAGGAGATTTCCGGCCAAACGGGTCGGATCGGGTTGCGATTTCTCGTCGGAGAAGCAGGTCACGTGCGCCGTGGTGGGTCTCGGATGGGATACGTCCACTAACGGCGGCAGCGCCGAAGGAGGTTCTTGAATCTCGCCGGTGGAGCTGTCTCCTTTGATCAGTGAAGAAATGTGGATTTTATGGCCGCCGGACATCTTCTTAAATATTCTGCAGAGCACCCATTCATTCTAGAAAAACATTTCAGGAAAAAAATTATTTACATGAGAGGGGAATTTTATGCCAAAATTATACTCCATTCATCTTAAAATAATCCTTTCATGCATCTCCTTTAAATTTAGTTTATTTAGAGCATGTGTAATGGCAAGGAAAAGGCATGTCATGCACTGCCACATCAGCAGCTTTCACACATATCATGGCATGGCAAGGCCAAAATGCCTTGGTTTGTGAGGCATGAGTGTAGCATTCCATCCTTCTTTTTTTTTTAATAAATTTTTTTAAAATTTTTTATGAAAAAAAATGTACAAGAATGTAGAATAATTTTTTAATAAAATAAATAATAAAAATATTTTTTTTATGTTTAAAAAACATAAAAAATGTAAAAAAGTGATAAAAAATAATGACTTGCCATTGTAGAACTTGCCACTCCATTCACTTGTCACACGCTGACTAGACTATTTTTGATTGGTTAAAATGTTCCATGTCACCGTGTGACATTCCATTTTTGCCTCACCATTGTTCATGCTCTTACAACTTATTAACTCTGTTTCTCAAAACGCTTCCTCTTTTGACTTTGGGGAAAAATAAGGAAGTGTTAAATTGTACGGAGTAGTTGACTTTTCAATTTTGCCCTTGATGTGATGGGTAAAAGTTAGATGTGATAGTTTAGTTGTTAGTGAAAAAAGTATGATGTGATAGGTAGGGTATGAAAAAATAGGGGTAATAGTGATTTTTTAATACAAAAGAGAAGTGTTTTAAGAAAAACAAAAAAATGAAAGAGGAAGGGTTTTAAGAAACGGAGAGAGTATTATAGAAATAATGAATACTCCTTCCGTCCCATAAAGATAGAAACAGTTCGACTAAAGTGTAAAAAATACACTTGATGTGATAAAGAAAAGTTGGATATGATATGTAGATTATAAGGATAAAGATATGATGTGATAGGTAGGATATGAAAAAGTAAGGGGTAAAAGTGGTTTTTTAATAGAAATGAGAAAGACTTTTAGGGACGCGATTTTTTTTAAACGTTAAGGACTTTATGGGACGGAAGAAGTACGGAATATTATTTATCGAGTTGAGAGTTTTCAAAAATTTATTTCATTATACTAATATCTCGTACAAATTAAGAGTAATTGAAACTCTAATTTATTCACTCAAATTGAACAAATATATTGAAGTGGAGGTAGTAAATATGAGTATATATAGAGTATTTCAAAATTACTACACACATGAAAAGTTCTATATAACAAAAGATTAGATAATATTTTATTTTCTTAAATAATCCATAAAAACACGATTACTTTTATCAAATAATCCATAAAAACTATAATAGGAACTAAGACTATTACTTTAGGATGAAGGAAAACAGAGGCAGACCCAAGTTGAGTTGTACGTGATTACAGGACCTCACAGACCTCCACAAATAATTTTTATTCTCTTTGTTTCATAAAATGGTTCCTATTTTGAGGTTTAGAACAAACAAGGATCGGAGAGTATATTTGTGATTGACTGACTTTCTAATTTCGCCCTTGTGTGATGAGTAAAAATAAAATATGATAGATTGACTATTGATGAAAAAAGTATGATGTTATATATATGGTAAAAAATAGTGATAAAAGTAATTTTTAATAAAAAGGCGGATGTATTTTAAAAAAAACAAAAAATGAAAGATGAAATACTTTAGGAAATATAGAAAGAATTGAACAATAGAAGTATATATTATTGTTCAAAAAAAAGAGAAGTACGGAGTATATATTACTATATTAGGTACAAAGATGATGCTAATAAAAACATGAAAGTGTTGTAAGAATGGATAGCTGTGATGGATGGATGGATGGATAGTTGTTCTTTTGAGGCCTTTGTTCAATTCTTAGTATAATATGCATTTTTTACTATTTTTTCCTTCAATGTCTCAAACAACGTCATAACGTGTGAAGGTGCATCCCTGATGATATGAAAAACTTCTTTTTGTGTAGTTAGTGCCGAAAAGAAAAAAGGTGGAAAAGAAAAACGAGAAAAAAATTAAATTTTTTATCCAATTCGGGCGTGAAAAGGAGAGAAATCGTCCTCTCACCAATTTCGATGTAGAAAAAGAAAAATGAAGAAAACGAATTTCCATCTCAATTTGGATTGAAATGGAGAGAAATTGTCCCCTCACAGAGTCACAGATATCGATGTCGAAAAAAACGAGGGAAAATGAATTTCCTTCTCAATTCGAGAGTGAAAAGGGAGAGAAACTGTGCCATCACAGATTTTGATGTAGAAAATGAAGAGCGAGGAAAAATGAGTTTCATTCTCAATTCGGGATTGAAATGGAGAGAAGCCATCCCCACACAGATCTCGATGTATAAAAAGAAAAGTGAGGAAAAAAGAATCTCCTTCTCAATTAGGGACTGAAATGGAGAGAAACCGTCGCCTCACAGATCTCGATGTAGAAAAAGAAAAACGATGAAAAACAAATTTCCTTCTCAATTCACGAGTGAAAAGAAGAGAAATCTTCCCCTCACATATCTCGATCGATGTGGAAAAAGAAAAGTGAGGAAAAAAGAGAAAAAAATCGCCCCCTCAAAAATCTCAATGACGAAAAAGCGATGAAAAACAAGTTTTCTTCTCATTTCGGGAGTGAAAAGAAGAGAAATCGTCCCTTCATAGATCTCAATGTGGAGGAAGAAAAGCGAGGAAAAATGAATTTCCTTTTCAACTAGTGTGAAATGGAGAGAAATTGCCCCCCTCACAGATCTTGATATGGAAAAAAAAACCAAAAGAAAATTAAAAACCAATAGAATGATAGCCCATTCTATTGGAAAATGATGCTTGGTGTGAGAAAGGATTTTGATGGCATGAACAATAATACACCATTTCTTATCCGTAAAGGGTATGAGTGGCTCATGAGAATCAGAAACAGGCCAGATTGGGTGAAATGGGTTTGGTGCAAACCTGCCCACCCTAAACACCAATTCATAATGTGGATGATCTGTAAGGGGAGAATCAAAACAAGATCTGAACTCAAAAAGTTCATGGACATCGAAGACAAGTGTGGTATATGCGGAGAAGAATCTGAGACCATCAAGCACCTCATGTGGGAATGCAAAATACCTAAGGAACTAAGACTGCAACTTCTGTCCAGATTCGGACTTAAGCTGGAAGGACCTGGGTATGAGGATGTTTACACACACATGAAGAATATAAAGAACAAAAGGAGGAGGAACCTGCTGGCTGCTATTTGGGCTAACTACTGCTATCAAACTTGGAAGATCAGAAATGCGAAGATCCATCTGAAAACTTACACTTTGGAGGCGGCTATGAAGAATGCAAGTTTTTATTTCAAAAATTACTCTCTGTATAGATGCAAATAGTATGTTGTTAAGCTTATAAATGATGTAATCTTTTGAACAGTGGGGTTGTTAATGAAAGAAATATATTTACGTTCAAAAAAAAATTAAATGAGTTTCCTTCTCAATTTGGGAGTGAAAATGAGAGAAAGTGCTCCCTCATAAATCTCAATGTGGAAAAAGAAAAGCGAGCAAAAATAAATTTTTCGCGATTCGAACTTGAACGACTGAAAAACTATCTCCTCCCACATCTTGATGTGGGAAAGACTTTTCTCTAATTTTGGAATTTCCCAACGACGTCTACACATTTTAGTTTATACTCACCTCCATTCTTCTATACTCGCTCCAATTTTGAAAACACTACATCTTTCCTTTTTTTCGTTTTATCAAAATACCTATACTTTTGCAATGTTCACGTTTAAGGTTTGAGCAAAAAAGTAAATCTTGTCTCCACGTCACGTGGCATGTTAGAGTATAAAAACCTTTCATACCACGAGCTTCTGTTTTTTGTTGAATCAGTTCCTTGACAAATACGTTCTTTGTCCCAAAAAGATGTTCTCATTTTTGTGTTGACTTTCCAAAAATATCCTTGATATGATAGATAAGAATAGAATGTGATGTGTAGTATATTAGCAAAAAGGTATGATGTGATAGATAAGTTAAAAATTAGCTGAAGTAAAAGTGATTTTTAATAGAAATGAGAAAAATTTTATAGGACAAGTAAAAAAAGAAAGGGAAAATAGTTTTTGGGATGGAGAAAGTATTTTTTATATTCAAATTGGGATCTCCTTTGTAACCAATCAAACAAATTATGAAAAACCATTTTCCTCACCAATATAGTTTTCTCAGATAAAACCCAACAAAACTAGAATTTTAGATAATTTTTTTTTTACTTTTCTTTTCTTTCTTAACATTTTTCTTCTCTTCCTAATTCAATTCCTTCAACGAAACATAGTGATAAACTGAAAATGTCTAGAATAAATGTACCTTGGTGTTTGAGATGGAACTCTTTGCATGCAATCTGTACTCATGCATCACCCAATTGGTCTTCTCACCTCTAGGCGCTCTTCCTTTGTAGAAAACCAAAGTCTTCTTCACCCCCACCACTGTTTGGCCCTTGAAAATCCCCTTGTCTTTCCCTGTTGCCTTCCAATACCCTGCTCTTGTTGCCCTGTTTGTCCTCTCCCCTGTTGGGTACTTCCTGTCCCTCACACAAAAGAAATACCACTCTCTTTCTCCCATTTTTGCCCTCCCTTTAATTTTTTTTTTAAAAAATAAATACAAGTTATTAATCATTTAACAAAAACACTGTCGTTAAATAACTTTTTCAAAACGGTGAAGCTGTTGGCCGGGACGAACTTACGTACATGGCAAATCCCAGGGCTCGACGGAGTTGAAATCGACTTCGGCAATGGCTCTGGGAGAGAAGGCGGCGTCGCGGGCCTTGGGGCCCAAGTAATGAGTGATGAGCTCTTCGTCCGTGGGATGGAACCGGAAGCCCGGCGGCAGGTCGATTTCGCCGCCGGGGCGGCGGAGGATCACGGCGGGGAGGACGACGTCGTTTTCCATGTGAGGAAGAAGAGAAGTTTGAGACTTCAAGAAATCTTGGAAAAAGTCATAAGGACGGTGGAGAAGAGATATTTTTTTATGAAACTAAAACAAAAACAAAAACAAACAGATAAGGTTAATGGGTATGGTGTGACTTGTGAGGAGGTGTTTATATATATATATATATATATATATATATAAAGTTTGGGAATTAGCTCAGGTAAGCTAAGACTAGAACGGTCACAATGAAAGAAAATCTTGGGCCGGAAAACAATGAAAAAAGCCGCGTGAAACGAGAAGAAAAAAATATATTTAGCGGAAATAATAACGTCACTGAAAAATATAAGTCTAGTGCACAAAAATGTCCTCGTTGGAAAAGGGTCCCACCACAAGAATGTAATGTAGGTCAATCGCGCGTATTGGATATTTTTACAAGAGGCAATACAATTTGAAAAGGTTTTTACTCTTAATCGTCAAATCATAAACGGACTTAATATGAACATTCTCTTATTTCTATGGTCACTCTGTTTAGGTGACTACTGAAGAAACGGGGCACTTATTTTACCTTCTTCGTAAAATTGATATTTTTTATCTCCTAATTTATCCGGTAAACTTTTCGTGCAATCCTGACCCCAATTCATTCCCCATCACATATCAATTGCATCCTGCAAATTTATTTGATTTTGAGGTAAAATACTTTGATTACAATTCAACTTAACTTGTAAAGTACAATTAACATGGGTGAAAAGATGAGTTGGAGTTAGTACTGCG